CTCCTCATTTCCCAAGCTACTTCTGGTCAGTATTTTATCACAGCAACAGAAAACAAACTAGAAAAAAATTCTTATTTTTTTTCTGTATCTTTCAGATTCTTATTTTCTCTGTATCTCTCAGATTCCAGGTATAGAACCACATATGTAATAATCATTAATAACACAGGATACTAAAACACCACGAGGGGAAAAAGTATCAATTTTTAAGCATGTAGATATAGGTTGATAGAGAAAACAGCACTTACACATAGAATGCATTGGGTTATCTCTATTGTCAAGAGACCAAATATACAGATTCTTTTGTTTTCTAAATAAAATTATCTAAATGGTTTACCTTTTAGCATCTGTTCTTCTGCCCTCCTCTGCTCCTCTTCTTCCTTTTCTCTGTAGTAAGTTATTTTACGTTCTTCTTTTCGTTGCCTTTTCCGTTCTTCCAGGCGATTATGCCTTTCTTCTGCTAACCGTTCTTCAAACTGTTTCAGTTTTTCCTGTGAATTATATCCCCCAAAGGTCAAGTTTGTTCAAAATATAAACCAGGAATACACTTTTACACTTGTAAGCTTACAAGATCTGAAAGCCATAGAAAGTGGCCACCAAATAAATACAAAAGCAGAAGCTCTTAAAGGGTAAATAAATTTCATCAGTATGTCAAGTTTTTAGAATACTAAGTAACACACTGAATCTACATAGTGACATATACTTAATCTACACACTGGACTGAGAGCAGAGTACTTTGCCTGGCACACCTGCGGCCATAGGTTCAATTTCCAGTTCTATTTCCTACCTCAAAAAAAAAAAAAAAAAAAAAAAAAACCTATTTACATTTTACTTACAAGAAAATGACTAAGAACTCGAACAAAATAACTTTGATTTAGTTCATTGCTGCTGCTGCTGCTTCTTTTTTTGTTTTTTTAAAGGCAGGGTCTCTGCATAATCATGGCTACCCTAGAACTCACTATGTAAACCAGGCTGGCCTCAACTCAGAGATCTGCCTGCCTCTGCCTCCCAGGTGCTAGGATTAAAAGTGTACACCACCATGCCCAGTCTTGATCTAGTTCATTCCTGAATCAAATAGTAAAAACACAACTTAAAAGCACACATGAATCTGGAGTTGCCTTGTGGTGTTCCTGAAATTCCACTCCTTCAGAGGTTCAGTGTCAAACCACACACAGCAAGACAAACAGGCCCCATCTCAAAAACCCACACTTCTAGCAAATGAGAAAAATCAACTTTCATCTTTGAAGCATTTCTTTTTTTTAATGCCGAATGCTGTTTATTGAAGGAGGGAGGAGGTCTTAAATACAGGCTTACAGCACAATGGGAGAACCCTAGAGAGCTGAAGTTCCCTACCAATGTTTTACAATCTTGCATCTAAGCTGTTAACGCCCATTATGCAGGATACACAGACAAGGAACTTCCCTTAAACATTCAGGAGGGTGAAACCTGGGAGGGAATTAGCATAGGGAGGATATCAAGGTCAAGGTCAGCAAGCAAGGCAAGTTACCCAAAACAGGGGCCAGGGCCCTATAGGTCTCCCTTTTACTAGAAAATGAGCTTCTGAGTTAGGTTGCCTGGGACGTCAGCATTTCTTGAGATGATTTCTTGATGATGATCTCCCTACTCTTCCTACTGAAATATTGAATAATTATCCATTACACTTTAACTCAAGACAGAATCTGCCAATGTGTTAAGGGAGAATCCTGAGAAATAAAAATAAAAATAAGCCTCAAAGCTCACAAGTTAACTTTCCCTTATCTCACCTCATAGACAGACTGCCGGGCAGCTTTGAGCCGCATCACAAATAGATCTCTGTCTTCCAACATTCGTGACATTCGATTCTTGTGTTCCAGAGCCTTTTCTCGTTCTAGCTGCATTGTAGTAATCTGAAAGTACATAACACAAGGGTAATCTCCACAACATTTGTTTTCCAAATTACCCCCAGAAGATTCTAAAACTCTTTAAACTGAGAAGTTGGTCCTTCCCCATTCTATTTTTTGACAACAGCATCCCAATTGATCCCCAAAATAAAAGGCAGGAACAAGAGGCAAATTAGCCCTAAGACATTAATGAGGGAGGTTTTGAGCAAAACTATTTGATTTTACTGGAAGTTAAGGCAAAATGTCAGACTTTCTTCTCAGTCCTATGAAAATACAGAAGCCTCCAGACTATCCCAAGTATTACTTGATCTGTAGCATTTTCTACTTCTACTTAGTTTAAACCCTTATATTTGCAGAGAATTATCACAAAAATCCCAATTTATCCTATATAAAACAGGAAGAACTGACAAAACAAGGCCTATAAATCTCCATATAATAGATTCTGAGACTTCAGGTGCCAAAGGCCCCCCGTAAGGATGCCCTTTCTCTTGTTTACATGCACACAAGGCTGTGACTTACAGTTTCATATTAAATCTCTACTGTGAACACTTCTCTTTCCAAACTATTAGTAAGCAGCTGTTAAAGCACAATTTCTAGCAAGTGAATTTAAAAGCTGTTTCACTGCAGACTTATAACTTAGCTTACAGCACGAAACCACAACAAAATGAAAAATGCTTACTCTTTCTTCTTCTTGTTGTTCCCACAGGTCCATGTCTTTAACCCTTTGTTCCTCATAAGCACTCTTTATCAAAGGAATTTCTTCCAAACGTTTAGCTCTTTCAAAATAGTCAATCTGAATGGTATAAAAACAAAAGCAGTTTTACAAAATAACTTTTGTTGTTGTTGTTTTTTGTTTTGTTTTGTTTTTTAATTTTAGAGGCAGGGTTTCTCTATATAGCCCTGGCTGTCCTTAAATTCAGAGATCCACCTGCCTCTGCCTCCCAAGTGCAAGGATTAAGGTGTGTACCACCGCCACCACTGCCCAGTCAAAATAACTCTATTTAACTCATGTGAAAAGATTAACAATCCCATTAGGCAGGAGAAACAGTTTGAGGCCAGACTGGAGACCTTGTATATAAAACTAAAGAAAAGAAAAAATCCACCCTCTCATTTACCTTCTTTTCTTGATTCTTCAGGCGTTCCTGAAGTTCCTTCTTTTCTTTCTCCAGTTGTTCAACCTGTTTGGCCATGATAAAATCTGGATCCAGTTCCTCAAGGTCCTGATGGTAACACAAAGACAGAATGGTCATCACAAATATTTTAGTTTATATCTATTTGAGACAGGATTTCTCTCTGTAGTCCTGGCTGGCCATGAACTCAGACAGAGATCTACCTGCCTGTCTCCCCTGAGTGCTAAAATCAAAGACGGTGTCATAACTCCTTTATAAAGATAATTTTTAACTATGGGGGAAGGGTATATGTGCACTTAAGTACAGGTACCTGAATGTCCTAAGTGCTCAATCCAGTGGGAGCTAGAATAAGAGGTGGTTGTAAGCCACCTGATGTGGGTGCTGGGAATTGAACTTGGGTCCTCTGGAAAAAAGCAGTACAGCCATCTCTTCCAGGCCACAAATAAAAGATAAATACAATTTACAGTCACCTGAGGTCACTGCTTTCTAGAATCAAATCCTGCATTTCTTTAAATAGATATTCAATCAGGAAATATCAAAATTAGCCAAATGGGAGCTCAAGAGTAAAGAAGCTCCTGATGGCTGATGTGCTACATACTTCAATGTCGATGTCTTTGAATGCTTTGGCACCCAGTTCTGTCTTCTTGATCTGCTCTAACCGCTCCCGAACAGTTTTCTTTTTGATTTGCTCATGTTCCTGAAGGATTCGTTCCTTCTCTCGCTCCTTTGCCTCCTGGCGCAGCCTCTCTTCTTCAGCCTTCCGTACTTTCTGGAGTTCCGCTTCCCTCTGCTCCAGTTCTTCTTTCTCACGCTGGATATTCAGACTCTCAAGACGCTCTTTCCTTTCCTCAATTGTCTGTCGACGAGCCAGAATCCGCTGATGCTCTTTTCGTGAATTTTTAAGATATGCAGTAACTGCCAACTGATGCTGTTCTTCTTTCTCTTGCTTCAAAACAAATCCATTTTAAAAGATTACAAATATACTCTAGTACTAGACAGCAGTAGTAAAAATATTACCCACTGAAAGGCAGTTAAAAGACTTTGTCTTGACAAAAGCATCTCAACCACCAGTGAACAGGAAATCATAAAGTCTCTTCCACAGATTTCATCTCAAACCATATTTTGAAACATATACAAGTCCCTCAAAACTTTTGTAGCTCATACTCCCCCTCAAGACACATACCAGAATGTGAGCAGGCTTGATGACTTCAAGTGCTTTTGCAAGCACTGAGGACATGGCTGTGAGTTGATTTCTTATTTGTTCTGATGGCATGCTTTGCAGGTGAGGACCAATTGGGGCATCTTCTCGAGTTGCATAATTCAAGTCTGATCCAAAACTCAGAGTCCGAGAAGTGTGGTCAATACGAACCTTTGAAAATTAAATTATCAGTAACCAAGACTATATTTACAACTGCATTTGAGAAGGAAATAATCCGAAGTTAAAAGTAATGAGAATTTGCTCAACAGAGTTTTTTAAAGGTTACCATTGTACCAAAAGCAGAGAAACTAAAGATTTGTGTCTTTCTAGTTCACAAAGACCTTCTAACCTGCCATCAGTGCCCCCTTATAGCACATACCTGCAGGTCGCAGTGCCTGGCTGCGTCTACTATGGCCCGTTCCAGTTGGAAAGCATCAACAAAAGGAACCAGAGAAGTCAAACGAGAAAACTCAATGCTCTGATAAATCTGTGCCACCTGCACAAAAAAACACAGGGTTAATAACAGCTACTATTCAGTCACACTTTTTATGTGCAATTTCTTGGCAGCTAGAGGAAGCAGAAATTATGCCCATTGTCCAGAAAGGGAAAAAAAAATGAAGTTCATACAATTTGGCATAGCAGTAGACTATCAGAACTGAAGTTTCAATCATATGCTATGATCATATTACACATAACCATCTTCTGAATTCCTAGTTTCATAAATAAAAAACCTAAATGGCCACATATTTGTAGATAAAGGCCTGCTACTTACCTAATATAAATACTTCCAATTTTTTTTGTCTGAAGGAGACTGACAGTATAACTATATAAGTCATTCTGCTAATTATCCTTCAAGTATTTGTATAGCACATAAGAAATAACACTGCTCACATATTCAAAAGAAAGCAGGTCAATGAAATGTGCAAACACATCATAATACTCCCTTACCAAATGAAAATAAAGTACAAAGCACTAATACCACTAATAAACTGCAACACTCAACCATAGTCATGACACTGAACTAACAAGACAAAAAGATACTAACAGCCAGTGTAAGCAAGAGGAAAGACTACCCAGTCATTACTGGTAAAATGCTCTATTAATATACTCTCAGGAGCTGCTAAAGCTTTAATTACATAAACTATGTGACTAATTCTATATGCTACAGGAGTCTCGATCATATGCAAAGGTATATGCATGTTAAGTGTTTGATGCTATAACACTTTCTAATGGGGAAACCCTAATGGAGCTCCAATGGCACTGAAATTGGTGTGTTTGTTACTATATCTAAATGGAACTTTCAGACTATGAAAAAATGGTGTAGGTATATTTTTAGCCCTATATTAGCAAGGAAAACTCAGGGCCAGACATAATGATTTATGCCTTTAATGTCTGCACTTGGAAGGTAGAAGCAGGCCGATCTCTGTGAGTTCAAGGCCAGCCTGGTCTACATAGTGAGTTCCAGGATATCCAGAGCAAACAGTGAGACTCTATTGGGGGGGGGGGGGGGTGGAGTGGAAAAGGTCAACAACAACCCAAAATCTAAGGAAAATTCATAGTATTTGACAAAGAGAGAAGTAGGAGAGGAAGAACAGTTGTTAGGTCATTGATTCTGTTTCAAAATTACAAATATAGAAATGTGAGCAGTAGAAATTGGGATGGCTTTCACGTAAGTAATTCTAATTTTTTCAGTTTTGTCATCAAAATAAAGAGTAAAGGGGCTATGGAAGGGAGGGAAGATTCCCAGAGTCGGCCAGTCTGGTTATCTGTGAGCTTCAGGTTCAGTGACAATCTCAAAATACAAGACAGAGAGTAGCAGATAACAGAGGAAAGACAGCTGATGTCCACCTCTGGTCTCTACATACTTGTGTACATAAACAAAGCAAGTGTGTGCATATATATTATATATATTATATATATATATTACATGTATCATACACACACAAATATTTTCAATAGTGATACAGTCAACAGTAGAAATCTCATTTCTCCACAAGGCATTTGCTTGCATTTTACCTGTTGCAGAAGGCGGAGTATGGTATTGTTCTGTAGTTGTGGTACATATTGTTGCAATTCTGGTTCCTTTTCAGGTTGTTCCCTAACCCAATTTAATACCTATAAAATCAATTAAATTGAGAAAAAAATATATAGTTTATATGTAGCAGACACAGTTTACACTTTCAACTTCTTTATATACAAAACAGCATATAATATAAAGATACGAATTTCATCCAATGACACTAACAATACTTGTCTGAAGGTGACTGACAGCAGTGGCAGAAGTAGTCATGCTGCTAATTTACCTCCAAAAGTTTGTTTAGCACATCAGAAATATCTTTTCTCTTGATGTAAAGAAAAGACAATAAAATGTGCACTTCTCAACACATAGGGGAACACTTCTATTTTAGACAAATATAATGCTCAATTGCAGTAATGCCAACCATGTGGTAAAGACCAAAAATCGCCCATGCCAAGTCTTACCTTTGTGACTCTCTCACAGAGTTTTAGCGGGTTGAATTCTACCTCCAGCCAGTTGTAAAGGTCTTTCACTTCCGGGACAACATATTGTAACACATTGAATCTGACCTATAGTAAGAAAGGTAAAAAGTTTAACTGCTAAAGAAAAATTTCCAGCAGAGATTCTAGACTACAAACTAAAACTAGGAAATTATCTGATCTCAGTTTCCTATAAATTTACCAAATACAATCCAAACCATTACTATAATTACCCATATTGTTTCTACCTATAATTAACAACCCCAAAAAAAAAAAAA